TGCTTTGTAGTATGTCTTGAGAGCCTGGTTTTCAGTGTGGAAGTGGCAGCCATGGATGCTGGCAACAGTCAGGCTGCATCAGGAGCTGAATTCAATATAGTTGCATCCCATCAGGCAATATAAAGACTGGGGGCCAGGCAGCCATGTGCCATCTGAAGCCTCTGCAGGGTTTATCTCATTTTGCATTTTTATGTTGTGAACAGCCCTGTGATCTTCGGATGAAGGGTGGTATACACATTTAATAATAATAATAATAATAATAATAATAATAATAATAATAATAATAATAATAATTAATCCAGCAACAAACAGAGTTGATGTAGCAGCTTGTTCATTTCCTCTGCCTCTCCCTGCCCCAAACCAGAAAACAGTTATCAATAGCTCAGCACTGACATAACAATATGGCACCATCTGCTGGTGGAGGTGCTGCTTTTCAGCCCAGTATTTTTCTGTTTTGCTGCTTCCTCAGATAAACAGTGGCATCCTGTCTGTTTTACCCAGTGGTCTTCTGAAAACACATTTAGGGAAGCAGATGATAAAATGACAGAAGGCACACATCTTTAAAATGTGCATTGCTGCAGTTAGATAATTTTAGATTTAATTTCACAGGTGAAATCCAACCCTAGATACCCTCAGAGTAGACTACTTTGAGTAGGACTAACATTTCCTGCCACCCAATGGTTCTGTGGTGAGCACCCTCCCTATATGGTGATGTGTGTTACTTCAGATAAAGATGCAATTATATATATAGCTTTTATTAAATTGTTTAATAATAACTACCATTTTAAATTCTATCTGTACATATTAAGATACTGTAAGTTGTTTTATAAAGACTCATTGAAAAATAGTATCTAAATATGTAAATAAATATATTATTAAAAATGTGGAATCACTGCAGGCTCAAGTCCTGACAAGAGATTAATTACTCCAAGAGCAGGCAAGGGGGCAATAAAAATATTGGCGATAGTGTTCTATCCTTATGGTAATAATTATTTGCTTTTGTTTTTAAACCTGCCATGTTACATACAACTCTATTCCCTAGAAATCATGTGGAACACATCTCATACAATTAGCATGTGTTCATTAGAGAACCTGGAAGTCAAAAAGAAGAGAAACTGAACCCTTTAAATTATGCTTAAAACAAATTTTATTTCACAAAATAGTCACCCTGGTGCATTTTGGCATCTTCTCTTCTTCAAAGGCATTAAGACATAAGAGAACAAACACTTTATGAAGCCTCCTTAGTATCAAAATATACATATTACACTAAACATATAAACAAATTGTATGGACCATCCATAACTGCTGAGGGGGATGCCAGGTTGCTACTGCGAACAGGCTTGCTTAGGACTTCATGGAGCTGTCCAAACACATTATAGGCCCAATAGATCTAGCCAGAGATGCCTTTGATTTGGTTGTTTACTGGTTAGAATGACAACAGCAGATTCCACCTGCAGGGGTACAGTCTAGGTCAGGATGGTCCACCCCCAGAGACTAATGGAAAAGGAAGGATTCCTGCATGCTCGGGGGGGAATGTTTGCCATAGTCAGTGCTTCTGCTGAGAACCTGATGTCACTATGGAACGCAGGCGCTAGGCCCCTCCACAATCTTTCATTTGGGTTGATCAGTGGGGAGGAGGGGGTGCTTCTATGTGTAGTCTTGGAAAAAAACACACCAAAACAATTAATTAAACTGTTGGAAACAATAATATAAAAACAATGCTTTTCTTTTGCTGCAAAATAATGCTTTCTCATGGTGATTTTCCTATGCCCTTACCTCTTCTCATTCAGCTGTGTATTGTTCTATTCACAATTGCTCAGCTGTTCAGTTTTCTCAACTAAACAAGAACCTACCGGGGTATATTCTCCTGAATGTAAAACCGATTTGAGTCCATTTGCCAGAAAGCTTAAATCTTCTTATTTTTAATTTTCTTGTTATTACATGTGTAATATGTTCTAGAGCCTATTATGCAAGACTATGCAAGAATATGTAAATATACCAATCACAAGTGAAATAATTCACTACAGATACTACAGAGTCCTGAAATGTATAAATCTAACGGATGAATACAAGAAGTGAGTAGATTGGCTAATAAATGGAAACATGTTTCCTGTTCCAAAAATGATTTTGAAGAAAACTATTCTAAAACTCTAATCCTTTAACTATAGTAAGCAACCCCTATCTTTAACAGATTTTATTGTTGAACCTGGCTTTTAATACTATATTTAGTTTAAACTATGAACTACACAGGGAGCCCCTATCAAGTAGAAATATTATATATAAATTTCAAAAATAAAAAATGAATATATCCAGGTGCTGAAAAATACTAAATGTATCTCCATATTAATTAAATACCCATCTGTTAAATACCTATCTGTTAATTTGGAAATAACAAGGCCTAGCTGGGTACAAAAGGTTGTTACATCATCCTTGTTTTCTTTACTGAAGCATTGTGAAACCTTTTGGCTAGCTTGTTTTAACTGAGAGAACAGTTACTTTTGCTACTTGCAGATCTGTATCTCGTTTTACGAGTTGTTTGCTTTAAAGTGTGTTTGAGAGAAAAGGAGGTGAGATTGAGAGCCCCCGTCTTTTCCTACTGACCTATTTACAAAGCCTGAGATTAACTAGCAATGTAGTTAAAATAAGGCAAACTATTTTGGGGTGTTGGGGTGATATCCAATGCTAGTCATACTCAGAGTAGACCTTTTGAAATCAATGGACTCAAGTAATTTGTCCATTGACATTAAATGGGTCTACTCAGAACGTGACTTTGTTGGCTATCAGCCTTTGTTTTATAAAAGCAGCAGCACTGTAGTATCATAGGCTGCTTTGGTTGTTTACAATGATTTGGGGTGTTATCACATGCCTTTTATGTACATCTCCTTGCCACATTCCAATTACAACACTATATAAATGATAAAGAGTATAATACAACTATGTGGCTGGGCAATTGTAGGTTAAGCCAATTGCTACTGCTAATGGACTTAAATAATTATTTGGGTAGGCGTTAAAAATAAAGATCTGCAGGCTTTGTGAGAATCTTTTTCATGAAGGACATGACCATCTAGCAACAGCCAACAGGCCTCCGGATAAAAAGCTATAAAGAACAGCTTCAGCAGCTCCCAGAACATTTCCAAATACTTTTGGAAGTTGTGCCTTTGTTCCTTTGCCATTTAGCATTCAGCGCCAGCTGGCTTTTGGAAGAACACTGGATGAAATAGCAAACAAATTTCTCTTTGAAAGCAGACTTAAAAAGGAAAGGTGCTGTGAAAGAGCCTAGAGGAAAGCCAGACTATTGAGTTGCGCTTCTAGGCAGAGCACAAAAGAAGGAGCTTTCTGGGAAACACCCCAAGGGCATCAGGCCCTGTGGCATTGGAAGAACTGTTACATCCACCAGCTGTTTTTGTAGGGTAGTGAATTCTTCCTCCCTTATAGGTCTTATTTCTACTAAACAGTCAGTTTGAAATCTGCCCCACATGGTTCATTGGGAGTGTTTCTGGACAGCAACAAAATACCGTATTTTCCCGTGTATAAGACGCCCCCATGTATAAGATTCCCCCATTTTGGGGACTCCAAATTAAGAAAACACCCCCTCAGCACTACCCGTGTATAAGACGAGCCCCGATTTCAAACCTATTTTTTTGGATAAAAAACCTAGTCTTAAACATGGCAAGTGTTAACCCTTTTTTGGCAGAATGCCTTCTTTCCTCCAATACTTGCTTGTTAGCTAGACTGGCATCTTCTTGGCTCTGGTGGGACATCCCTTGATCTGAAGTATACAGTCTAGGCCCCTGCGTCAGAGGACTGTGTGCAAGAGCACCAGAGACTCCCATCTTGGTGGCACATAGCTGTCAACAGTCCTGTAACAGGTAAAGGACCAGAGCTCAGTAAAGCACATGCTTTGAATTCAGGTTCAATCCCTGGCATTGCCTGAAACATTAGAGGGGCATTGCCAGCCTGTGTAGACAATGCTGAGCTCAAAGAGCTAATGGTCTAACTCCAGAGAAGCAATGTATTATGTGTCAGTAGCTCATTATCCTCGTCTGAAGGAAAGGCTAGCACCAGAGTCCCAAAATAGATGCATTTCATGGCACTTTGACACTGAAACACAATTGGGTTTGTTTTTTGCCCCTTCCTGTGTTTTTTAATTTTAAAAAATGATTTTGTTAATTTAGAATGGCTTACAAAATGCTGAATCAACAAACTCTCTAAGTCTATACAAAAACCAATAAATAGAAAAACAAGGTAAAATCAGTATAAAGCTGTCAACCTTGTTTCCATGCCCCACTCTTGTATTGTGACAGCCTAAATAGTTAAATACTGAAAATCCACTGCTTTTGTGTTCTAAAAATGCAGCAGTTACCAGGGAAGTCAAACAGCTAGGGTTGGAAAAACTCATTACGATGTGTGTATAATTAGAGTTGTTCATTTGTGAATAATTTGGAAAAAGCTATTGCTGTCCATTTGATTCAAAAAGCATGGTGCCTATTCGTGCTCTGTAGAAACTAATAGGAATACTTAAGTAAAGTTGTTTTGATTGCCTGACACATTTTCATTCTGGCCATTCTTTGTTTTTCCATCAGAAGGTGTTCTCACTCTGACCCTTCAATCTGTCCCCTCCCCAAGCAATGACAAGTATAATATAAAAGCAGTTGATATAAAAAGCAAACAAAGAGCTCTTCTCATCATTTGCATGCTGCCGAGATTTATAATATATCTGAACAATTCCAGTTCACTTCAGTTGACAGGAAACTTGACAGCAAGATGCCTTCCTACCTGAAAACAACCAAGATCTAACGTTTGCAATTATCCAGAATCTGATCTTCTCCTACGCAAGATGAACTCGTATTTCTGAATTTTATTGAACAACAACATGGAAGAGGGAGTGCTTTTTTATCCATTGTTGATCCAAATCATCTTCACTGCTTAAATGGAAATGGAAAAAATAGCAAGTTTTTTACAAGTCTGTAGTAATCTCTCAAGAAAGAAAACAAGACAAATGGACTTGTTTCTTTTATTGACAAAGGTAAATAACTGGGGATAATTTTATACATACATTATTTCAATTTCTTATTCATTGCTGTTAAAGTTTACATGAACTGTTTACGATAATATTTCAGAATATTCCTCTACACAACTCTTTCTACTACATTATCAGCCCTACTTTATCAAGTTCTGTTCTCTTTTGCTCACTGTTTTTAAACCATCTAATGTAATGAGCTTCAGCTTTTCCAAGGAATCAACCAGTGCAATTCTAGGCACATGTACCCTGCAAGCTAACCCCACAATAGGGGGTTATGGGGCATGGATGGGGGAGAAGTCTTCCTCCAGCCAGCCCACACCAGCTCTGCTGGCCTCCACACTCTTCTGGTGTGGTCTTCATTCTGCCTGAAGTGCAGGTAGGCAAAAGATCCACCATTGGGATTCCTGCAAAAATAATAATAATCCAAAATGAGCCATTTTCGGGTCATAGAGGGGCTGAATCAGTCTAGGATTGACTGGATCTTGGGCTGGCCTCACTGGCAGAGCGTTGGCTCTGATGTGGACCTGATTGCTACTGTGTTACAATCCACTGTTGCCAAGCTGAGTTTGGGACTGCTATCCCCCCTGGAGTAAGAGCCATTGAACACAGTGGGACATACTCCCAAGTAAAAGTGTAGTATTGCACTGTTATTGTGTTGGTCACTGGACTTTGAGGGAAACTATTTTACACATACTTTTAGACAACATAAAGGCTGTAAACAAAAGCAAAGCTGGATTGTTTTTTGTAACCGGCTTATGTCATTTTTTAACTGGCTTCTGACATCTCGTAGGAAACTACAAGGAGGAAGCAGCTGGAAGGAACAACTCATGGTTTCAGTTTTCTCTACACAAATCCACACAGAATATGGGAAACAAGCAAGACGAATTGGAACTTTTAATTCAGTGGCAAATATGTCCTGGTAGGCATTACTGAAACCTGGTGGGATGAGACCCATGACTGGAATGCAGGAATTGAGGGGTTTAACCTGTTTAAAAGGAACAGACCAAACAGGAAGGGAGGAGTAGCAGCATTATATGTATAGGATGTGTAAATTTGTGAAGAAATCCATGACCTGGATCATGGAAAGCAGACTGAGAGTATATGGGTAAAGTTGTAGAAGAGAGAAACAACAGTGACCTTACTGTGGAGTCTGCTATAGACCACCAAGGCAGGCAAAAGACTTGGATGATGCCTTCCTAGAGCGGATTACAAAACACTAAAAAAGGAGAGATATAGGAGACTTCAATTTCCCTGATATCTGCTGGAACTCAAACTCTGCCAAGAATGTGAGGTCTGACAAATTTCTCCACTGCCTTGCTGACAATTTCATATCCCAGAAGGTGGAAGAAACAAGGGGGTTACCTATCCTAGACCTCGTCCTCACTAACAGGGAGGAATTGATCAGCAAAGTGGGAGTACTGGGAAACTTGGCAGGAAGTGATCAGTTCTTTCTGGGTTTCATGATACAGAGGAAAGGGAAAGCTGAGTGTAGTCAGACAGGCACTCTGGACTTTAAGGCGGCCAATTTTGAAAAACTGAAAAAGCTACTGGATGAGATCCCATGGTCAAAAATACAGAGAAGGGAGTCCAAAGATGGATAAGTGTTTCTAAAAGGAGAAATATTGAAGCCCCAAACACAGACAAATAAAACAAGAAAGAAAAGTGGGAGGCATCTAAGGAAACTGGTGTGGCTGCATAAGTAGCTTACAAATGAGATGAGAGTTAAGAAGGGCACGTATGATTCTCAATAAGCAAAGCTGGAATATTCCTCCAGATATCATTCATTTTCCTTATCTGTCTTTATATCAATGCTATTGGTGTAACTACTGAAATGTTTCCACAACATTGCCTTCACGTATTTCTTTTAGCCCACCTAAGTACCCTTTAAATTATAGCTTAACAGTATTTGTTCTCCAATAAATTTCCTCCTACCAAGGTACATCTAACCTTCCCAGAAGTTGCATTACGCTCCCAAATGACCCTACTGCATTCATCTGTCCACCATGCAGTCATATTCCAGTTTCCTCCCACCTCCTTCCATCTAGGAATAGCACGAGCTGCTCCCAAAATACTTTGCTCCACCTTTTTAGAAAAACTCTCAAAACCATTGAACTCACATGACCTACCAATAGCCAAACATTTAAGCCTGATATCTTCTCAAATTCCGTGTAGGGACCATATCCACACCACTAAATTCCCATCTCCATAAAATAGCTACTGGGAAGTAATAACTTCTTATAAGGGTGAATCCTTTAAAAGAGGCCCTGTGGATACAGAGTACACATGTTCCACAGGGGCCTCTTTTAAGACTCACCCTGTATTATTGGAAACCTTCCAGCCACTCTCCTAGAAATTTCCCCAGCCACACTGAGCTGCAAAAGGCTTAAATACTATCCCTGCCAAGCCAAGCAAAGGATCCTACAAGAGTCATATTGAGCCAGGCACTCTTTCTTACCTTTAAAAGGAAAAGTATCACAAAACTGTCTGTAAAGCTCCTCGTGTCTATTATTCTTCTGACTATGGAGAGCCAGTGAGAGCTCCACAAGCCAAGTTTCTTGAACAGAACTCACATCAGGCACCATGCAGCACATTCTTTCTTAACCATGTCCACTCAACACAATGGGGTATTCTTATTGAATACAATGGCAGTCTACTCAGCAAATTCTTTAGCACTACCTGCATTCGAACTCAGCACCGCAAAGCCCAAGACGTTTGCTCCAAAAACAAGTTATCCCCTTCTAAAAAACAATCCCCTTCTGCTGCTTTCCAAATTCACACCTTTTCTGATCTTTTACCTTTGAGACATAAACCACGAAAGCCATTCTTCACGAATAGCAAACCCACATCACCTTTCTTCCCCTGCACCACCACCCGTTTGCAAGGCAGCTCCCAGTTACTAAAAGAGCCCGTCCTTTAAGGCTGGGCCTCGGCCGGAGGCGTAGTTCAACTGGGGGGGGGGACGACCACCAGAGGCGTGAGAGCTGGTGCATTGTTCGTGAGAGACAGCTTGCTTGCACGCGCGATCAAGTCAGTGACAGTAAAGACCCCACCCCATTTTATGGTGACCGGTGGGATCCATAGCTGTCAACGTTTCCCTTTTTTTAAAGGGAAATTCCCTTATTCCGAATAGGATTCCTCGCAAGAAAATGGAAAAGTTGCCAGCTATGGTGGGATCTCGTTGTCCAGTTTATGCTGGTCTACGACCGTAATAAAGAGGAGTTGTTGTTGTTGTCGTCGGTGTCCAGTACTATGAGCAATCGTGACTACACAGTCCTGTACATTTGCAAAGTTCCTTGCAGAAGGGGCATGCACAGCTGGAGGGGCAGCCAATAGGGAAGCTGCTTCCGGTCATGTGGGTTGCTGTGTCGGCGTGGGGGGGGATCTAGGGAAGGGGCGAGGCTCCTGCAGGCGCTGGAGGGAGGCAGGAAGGAGCGGGCGAAGCCTCCTCCTGGCTCTGCGCGCTTCTTGCGCTCTTCCTGCTCCTCCCAGATTCAGTCCAGTCAGTTCCTCCTTAGAGCGCGGCTGATGTTTCTTCTTCGTTGGCTAGGTAGGGATTTTGCAGGAGAAGCAGAGCAGTTGATTCTCTGGACTTTTATTAGCCCTCCTCTTCAGATACACACTCGAGGGAAGGATTGGTGCGTGCATCCAAGGCAGTGCGTGCCTGAGTGCGGAAACAGGAATACTGTGTTACAAAGAAGGTTGTGGGAGGAGCGCCCTGCATTCAGTCATGGCCAAACTTGGCTCTCCTGCTGTTTTGGGACTACAACTCCCAGCATCCCTAGCTAACAGGACCAGTGGTCAGGGATAGTGGAATTGTAGTCCCAAAACAGCTGGAGGGCCAAAGGAGCTGCTGGGAAACCAGAAACACACTATTCATTGCCAAGCTTTGTACATACACACACACACAAATAAATAAATCACTAGTGAAAATCCTGTGTGAGCATACAATGGATGGGAAGTATTCACGTGTGCAGGAATGATCAAGATGATTTGCGTAAATGGTACCGAAAGAGCGGCAGAGAGAATAGAACTGGGCTGCTGTGGCTTCGCAAATGACGTGCATTTGCGTTTAGGCTTGAACTTGTTTACAACTGGTCAGAAATATCATTCATTATATTTCCATCCCGTCTTTCCTCTGAGCGCTAGGTGTTCGTGTCTGTGCTTCTCCCACTCCTAGTTTTATACTCACGACAGCCCTGCAAGGTAGATTAGGCTACTTATAGGCGAGCGGTCCGAGGTCACCGCCGCACATTCAGGGCTTTGGGTTTTGCAGGGAGCCTCCAAGAGCAGAGAAGGCTCCTTGCATTACAGAACTTGGCCATCAAATTCGTGGCAGCAGGCGATACACGGAATAAAAAGGACAGGCCAGACGCTGGGGCTTTACAGCGAGGCCCTTCCCCATTTCGCGATTGCTTGCAGGCGAATACAGTGAACGCCCGAATAGGGTCAGAAGTGCTAATATTTAAGGCATTAATATTACAGTGGTACCTCGGGTTAAGTACTTAATTCGTTCCAGAGGTCCATTCTTAACCTGAAACTGTTCTTAACCTGAAGCATCACTTTAGCTAATGGGGCCTCCCGCTGCTGCCGCTGCGCCGCCAGAGCACGATTTCTGTTCTCATCCTGAAGCAAAGTTCTTAACCCGAGGTAATATTTCTGAGTTACTGGAGTCTGTAACCTGAAGCGTATGTAACCCGAGATACCACTGTACCTGCGTAATTGCCTTGATTCTGTCACTTGCTCCCATAATTCGCGTGGGAATGTCGCGTGTTATTGCTATACTCTCATTCTTTAAATCCAAATTCTCTGACGCCAGGTGCCCCCCAACCCCAATGAAAACATGATAGAAATATACAGGTCACATCATATGGGCTAAGTTTACGTGCTTGTTGTTGTTGTTTAGTCGTGTCCTACAAATCTTCAAATAAATACTGACTGTCCAGGTATGGTATTGAAATTAGTAGTGTGCCACCCCTCCCCCCAATACATTTTCCTAGTGTTTCGCTGGGAAAGGCAGATAACTTCGGGGGCGGGGAGGGTCTTGTCTTAAACATTAGAAGGCGGCCTAGCGGAGCCTGCGCGACTCCTTTTGCTTTTTGTCTTTTGCAGCTTTCAGCCTCCCCGAACTTCTCGCACTGCATCCCCGTGTCCCTATTGGCTCGCCGTCGCTTTTCAGCCCCGCGGCCGCAGTTGCCATGGAAACCAGACGGTCTCTCGCGGGCGCTTCGCGGGCCGCCGACTGAGTACAGGGAGCCGCGAGGGCCAAGTTTCAAACGCCGACGGAAATGACCCTCGCGGCTCCCTGTACTCGGTCGGCGGCCCGCGAAGTTTCCGCGAGAGCGGCTGGTTTCCAGGGCGACTCCTGCAAACACAACGCGGGTTCCTCGGCTACCGGGAGCGAGCAGGGCCATTTTGTGCCTTGCGGGCAGCGCGGGGAGACGCGGAGCTGAGAGAGGGGAAGGAGGCGGGCGCGGCTGCTGCTTTCGGAAGCCGCCTGGTCGTGTGAACTCGAGGTAAGAGGCAGGGAACCTCTGAAGAAGCCGCTGGGCTCTCTCTCCCCCCCCCCCCACCACTCGCGCTCTCCGCCAAGGGGCGCAGGAAAAGCTGGTCGGAATAGGAATCCGGCACTAAGTGAGGCCAAGCAAAAGAGGGGAACGAGTCGAGCTTCTTGGCTGAACCGTTTCCACGACGGTTTTACGAGGCGCCGCGAGGCTCAGAGCAGCGCCTGGATCAGGGAGGGTCAAGGTGTTCCATGGCGCTCTTCCTCAGGGTGGTTTCTCCCCGATAGCTGGAGCACCGGGGTGGGGATAATTGTATTTTATTGGACTAGGGAGCTGTCAGTAGCTACTAGCAGGGGCGTAGCCAGAACTTACTTTGCGCGCGGGGGGGCGGGGAGAACCGACGTTTTTCTATTATTTTACTGGGGAGGCAGGTGCCCCCCCCACCCATGGCTACTAGCCATGATGTCTATGCCGTGGTCCATCAGGGTCTTATGTTCGTTCTTATCTGTATAGCGGTTTGAATATTCAGTAGTTCAGGAATAAAGGGCATGGCAATATTCCCCATGGACTATCTAGAGAGAGAGACCTCAGGCTTGTCTGGTCCTTCCCATGCTCTTCTCAGTGCAGGGAGGAGGTGAACCAGGAGACTGCATTTATTTGAACATTGAACCCTCCTTAATCCTGTGAGCTTCATCCCAGCTTTAATCTCTTGCATCCACAAAAGATTTCATCTTCAAATTAGCACAGTATCTCTCCTAGTGAAGTTGTTCACTTCTGCAGGAAGGGAACACAGAAGTCCTGTGCCTTCTTCAAAGCATCACTTGAAGGAAAAGTCTTTGGACAGAGCCATAGTTCTGGTGAATTCAGGAAAGCATATGCCAAACATTCTTTGTAGCTGTTGAAATAACTTCACATTATCTTTTGTTTTCTCTTCTTAGTTTCAGTTGCCGCCCAATACATGACTAAAAATGATTGACTCCGTCAAAGTAAGAAGACAGTGCAGCTTGGATTTTTACTCTCATTATGAGCACCTTTGTTCAGTTCAGGGCTGTGTCCCTCTACAATCTGTAAAAGCTAGAAGGCTTCTTGGTGTTCTTGATATAAATGCAGATCGCATCAAACCTCCTGATTGGGTACCTCTCTTGGATGCTATCAGGCACAACAAAACTTTGACTTCTATTGCCATAAGAAGCTTTCATCATCAGGGACACAGAGACTCAGGTAGTGACCAGTTAAATTGTTAACCATATGACCGCTCTTTCTCTTATAAAATTGTGTTCTTGTGCTAAATCCTACTGTGATCAGCTCTATTCAGCATGGTCAGTGGTCATGGATGATGAGAGTTAGAGTCAAACAAAAGCAGAAATACTGCAAGTTTCTCATCCCTGCAGTTACCTTTTTTTAAAAAAAAGAAAAATTGGTATTATAAAAATTGTGTATTTTGGGTTGTCCCCCCCCCCTTTCTGTCCATTTTTTTTCATTTAACGGGCTATTCCTCCCCCATTCATACTCCTTAGTATTTGTTTCTTCAGGTTCCAACAGAAGAGGGAGAGTTATGCACGTGACTTGCATTATGTTTAAGTTGCCTTTGGCCATGGTGTCACTAATACAAAGGAATTTGCATCTGCTTATGTAGCTAAAATGGGATGGTAAAGGTAAAGGTAAAGGTACCCCTGCCCGTACGGGCCAGTCTTGACAGACTCTAGGGTTGTGCGCTCATCTCACTCTATAGGCCAGGAGCCAGCGCTGTCCGGAGACACTTCCGGGTCACGTGGCCAGCGTGACAAAGCTACTCTGGCGAGCCAGAGCCACACACGGAAACGCTGTTTACCTTCCCGCTAGTAAGCGGTCCCTATTTATCTACTTGCACCCGGGGGTGCTTTCGAACTGCTAGGTTGGCAGGCGCTGGGACCGAGCAACAGGAGCGCACCCCGCCACGGGGATTCAAACCGCCGACCTTTCGATCGGCAAGTCCTAGGCACTGAGGCTTTTACCCACAGTGCCACCCGCGTCCCAGAAAATGGGATGGTAGGCAGAATCAATCAATCAATCAATCATGAATGGCCTATGTAAACGCTTAAGTGGTGTTTGTTCTGACGATTTTATTAGCTTTTTTTGTTTTCTAGGTGTTGAAAAGCAGGGAACATATATTGTAAGAAGGAGAATTCCAGCAATTCGATCCAAAGACTTTACTGCTCAACTATGTAAAGCTATTAAAAGTTGTCTGATGAGATCAAGTGCTCTAGTAAATTTGGAACTACAGGGACTGCTTTTGAGGGAAAAAGACTTGATATTACTGACAAAAGTAAGACTGCTCAATTGCAATAAATATTTTCATGGAAATACTTCTGTGCCCATTTTAAAATTACTAATATTCTTTATTTTGAAGGGGTTGGCTAACACATCATCTCTAGAGAGACTGTCTTTAGCAGACTCACCAATTGGTGATGGAGGTTTGGAAAGT